TGAGAATTGATTTACTTTTGAAAATGAGAATTCTTACCAAACATACCCTTTATATATATGTGTATTTATATGTTAAAATATCTGATTTTTGAAATGTGAAAGTTGTTTTGTTATTTTTGAAATAGGGTAAAAATAAAGTAGGGAAAGTGAATTTTTCCCAACTTAAAATCTTATTTATGAAGTTGGATCTTAAAAAACTTGTCTCTATGTAATTTGAACTTTTACTTCTATTAATTTTAAAAAATAAAAAAGTAGACTAGTGGACTTCTCAATTGGCCATGCGAGGCTCATGAGTCAAAGGGTTGGAGTGAGCTTGAAATTTGGACACCAATCGAGCTCGTGGCTAGACTATTGTTCACACAATTCAAGCTCGATTAGTCCCTCTTGTATTTTAGAGTTGAGTCACCCCTAACTTAATCATATCATGTACTTTCTATTTTTGGATAAAAATTTGAGAAACTCTTGTAGTCCATATTTGACAACCATTATTTTCAATCTCTTTTTTTTACATACTTATTTTCAATTACGCATTTACACAATAAAATATTATACACTTAAACTCATAAGTTTTCTATATTTTTTAATCACACATTCTCCTAAAAGACATTATTCAAAACTCTATTTAGTATTTTTCATAAATAATAGTTGTCCAACATGGGTTCATATGTTAACTATCAAGTATCAACATAACTCTTTTTTACACTATTCACATAGGCTCGGAGTCAATGCTCAACATCATTTTAGGTGGCAATGAGATCTACCTAGATTTGTCAAATTAATTGAAATGTATCACCATCTCATTTGACAAGTTCAAGTAAACCCTGATTGTCATTTGGCTTGATATTAAACACTAGTAGTAATATTAAATAACATTTTCCGTGTATGTTTGATAAAGTTTATAATATGGTTAAATTCTATTTTTTATTTACATATTTGTAGACTCACAACTCTTACATACTTTTAACCACACTTTCTTTTAGATTTACCACTTATAAGCATTCAAAAGCTCAGCCAAACAAGCACCCAATGTAAAATAATTTTAAAATGAAAAAGAAAATTACTAAGGAGAAAATGGTGAAATACTACTGAAAGGGCCAAGCCCATGCTTATCGAAGCCCAATTCGAACCTATCCAAAAGATAATTGGGCCCAAATGAAAGCCCAAGAATCTAAACCAACAAAGTCCTAGGCCCTAGTAGAGTTATCTATAAGTCCATTACAAACCCTAAATTAAACTGTAAACTACTCCCCCGGCATCATTCCGCTTCTCCCTGCACACAGCGCACACAGTACACCGAGCAATTACCCGAAAATGGTGAGGCCATATATAATTTTCACGTCCTTTAATTCTATCTATATAGGTTTGTTTATACAGTTAGATTTCTCT